ACTACACTACACTTCACTACACTACACCACACTACACTACAACACACTACACTACACTACACTTCACTTCACTACACTACACTACACTACACTACACTACACTACACTACACTACACTACACTACACTTCACTTCACTTCACTACACTTCACTACACAACTCTACAGCATACCACACCACCCTACCCAACCCTACCCCACCCCACCACACCCCACCCCATCCCACCACAAACTATGAGTGAATGCACCGCTGGCAAATGGATATATGTAAAACCTTATGTTAAACTACATGATAGCCATTAAGTTGTATTAAATACTTTGCATTTTTTCTAAAGCTTTGGTCAAAGAAAATTCAAACTTCCCCAGTTCTTGAAGTTTCTGAAGATATTTGTCATCTTACATTGGATATCATCGGAAAGACCTCATTTAGTTATGATTTTAATTCGACTCTCGGAACAGAAAACGAGGTGACCACTGCATTCAACTCGTTAATGAGCCGTGGCGAGTTTGGCTACCTTGTTCGAAAGAATGTCATCCCATTCTATGAGTATTTCCCCCTTCCTGATAATCTGGCAATCAAGAGATCCTCCCAAATTGTAGATGGCACTGTTTTCAAAGTAAGTTTTTCGTTATTCAGTTTATATTCATGATTTTAAATCTGGAATTTTCTTTTTGGGTCGGTGTCCACTGGAACGAAGCTTGGGATTGGACAAAATAACAAAAACATAGAAAGCATGGATTATGGTGAACAATGTGTATTGTTCTACATGTGAGCTGCGTTCTTTGTTTTATCTCACCATTCATTGTTTGTTCATCCACTCCCAGGCTTCGTTAGTGCCGGTTCTGGATTACCCCACTTTTCTTACGTCTTGGTCACGGGTCACTTTCTTCGTTGTTATGACACTCGAAAGCAATACATTCATTATAAATGCGATCTAATAATGGGAAAACATTTGGCGCAAAGAAAAATAGATCAACTTTTGTTTTCTTTTATTTTCTTCCGTTGATCTCAAGAGACCCTTTTCGAGTTCCAAATTACCGCTGTGTTTCTTGATTACAGACTCATTTGCTCAGGAATTTGCTCAGGCCTCGATTTTGTGAAGAATATTCACGTGTTCCAGTCAAGGTCCGTCAAGTTTCAAAGTGTTCGTATTGTTGAAGTTGTGCGTTCTTTACTTTACCGTTGGTATTTGCGAGTAATTAGACACCGATTCGAGGCTTAGCCTGAGCAAATGAGTCTAATCAAGAAACACAGCGGTAACTTGGAACTCGAAAAGGGTCTATTTCCCTTCTTATTGACCATCGTACGCGTTTTTCTCATGTGTTAGGTCATCCAAGAACGACGCATGCTCAGAAGGCAAGGAGAGGCAGCTGACCACAAGGACCTTCTCAATTTGCTTTTAGACATGTATGACGAAGAAACCGGCAAAGGCTTTGATGATGAAGAACTACGTGCTCAGGTTTTTACGTTCATGCTTGCTGGCCATGAAACAACCAGCACCTCGTTGTCATGGACTTTGTATGAATTGGCCAAACGTCCAGAAATACAGGAAAAAATAAGGAGAGAAATCAAGGTAACTTTTGCAATTTCAAGGGTGAGCGGAATTTCCCTACTAGAAGAGCCTATATATTTTCCTTTTGTTTTGGTGGAGTGAGAAAAATAGACTCTGCCGATGTAGGACGTTATACTTGTCGCGCATGCGTGRCGTAACTTAGCAACGATATCATGATTTTGACAGCCGCTCTCGTCAAAAGACGTGCTGCGCCACTGTGTGTTAYATTTGCTCATGCGCACTTCATGTTCCCGTTTAAAAACCGGTTTTAAAACTGGTTTCGGCGGTGTATTAAAGTAAACGCTCTACATCGGCAGATACTCCCTCCTCGTCTAAAAGAAGGGAGAGAAAGACGAGAGACTCTGCTAGCAGGGAAGAGCGGAATTTAACTTTTTTTGGCAACTATTTTCGTACGATAGACCTCTTTACCTTGGGCGTGATGTTTTCCCATTTCAGACCACATGTCATTCCCTAGAGTATCATTTCTTTGTTT